GGGAGGCGGGACCGTGTCCAAGGTAGTCGGCACTACTGTTCGCTTGAGCAGTGTTGAACCCAGCTGATCCTGGGAATTTCACTATAGGAATTCGGATGAAAGTGAACAGGAACTAACGAAAATTTTTCGAAATTTCCGTATTGTCAGTGACATGTGCATATTTCCCTCACTGACTCAGCTGACCTCAGGAATTTCCTCATTCACTATATTCTACGTGTGAATTCGTGTAGGAGGGTGCAGAAACCAACGAAAATTTCCTCGGAATTTCCATATTGTCATCAACACATGTAGTTGAGCATGTGCATATTTCCTCCCACACTGGCCCTGCATTGAAGGCTTTGTGATAGATTCTGCCACACTGGAGTGGTCTACCGGGGCGCGTTGTGCATTTTTGGAGGGTATGATGGACAGAATCGACTTAATGATTTCAGAAGATACATATTAGGCTCAGAGGTAGGCCAAGATAGTTGAAACTTGGGAAAATGTGGTATAGCGAAGCGATGCATCTGTCGGCGCATAGTCGTGATATGTTGGCCAAGCGATATGGTTGTTTGTGTATGGTAGCGGTGGATTAACTCGAGAGTTCATGCCTTGAATAAAGTGCTTGAATTGCTATCATTGAATTTTGATTTTTTAGCACAGTTCACTTCATGTATCAAGTGGTGAAATTGAGTATTGTGCGAAATTTGCCCAGATTTCCGCAATTTTTGGTTGCGAGTAGTATACTAGCAGCGACGTGTCATTGAGATTACTCGTGCAATTTTGAGAACTAGGGGTCTAGATTTTCAACGGTGAATTTACATTGCATTATCTGACTATGTATAGCGGCGTTGGAATATATGTTTGCTCTCCTCAGCTCAGCTCGGGAGTTTCCTTACTAATTATAGAAGTCTACACACGACTGTGGCTAGCAGTGTACACTTCCTCAGAATATCCATATTTTCATCAACACACGTGATTAACCATGTCCACGTTTTCCCACGCTGATGTATAGAGTATCCATGTACTTAATACCGATTAAACTGTCACTAGTGTACTGGAGTTTCACCCTAGTGATATGAAAAACACCAGTGAAAAACATACTTCACGGCTACTGCGTAGTGTGAATATCGCGTTTTTCACGGAGTTTTACACCGGCTCACGTAAAACGGGTGAAACTCCATCGGCGTTTCACCCTCAAGTGTTAAAGTAAGTATTATAGTAAGTATTATAATGTACTCTAATTCTGATTTAATACTTGAGTAAATTATTTTTCTACAAATACTTTATTTATATTCTTTTGGTAGTAGTAGTAGTAGTAGTAGTAGTAGCGTACTTGATACTGTGTATGTAAGGTTAACGTGGATATACCACCGTCGACTTTATTGGAAGATCTCCGAGATATGGTGGATGATCCAACATGGTCTGATGTGGTGTTTGAAGTGGAGGGGAAGAAGGTAGACGTTTTAACTGGCTAAAGTTCATACCAAAATTCCGTCAAATCAGGTGTATGCTCATAAGATGCTATGCGTGAGATGCCCTTATTTCCAGTAGGTTGTTATCATCATCGGAGTTTCGCAACCCGTTTAATGTGAAGTGGCGTAATACTCCATGTGAAAGGACGTACATGTTTCCGCGAGCGATAATACAATTGTATACCGCGAAGTGAAATGTGAAATGTGTTTTCACTAGTTATTTTTTCTCTCATATCACGGGTATTTAGTATTCAGAATTTACTGTCTTGGAATTCAACCGTTACCTGTTGTGATATTACATGTCAACGGTCCGAATTCGCGGGTGAAACTCCATGGTTGTTGTTGTTGTTGTTGTTGTTGTTGTTGTTGTTGTTGTTGTTGTTGCAGGGCGATGTTCTCACGCTCTATGAATATGAAGGAGTCTACTATGTCGATTGACGAGTGCATCCCAATACAAGGGGGAGTCACTCATAGGGCTTTCAAGGGAGTGTTGGAGTTCCTGTATACGGATGAGGTCCACGAGGTAGGCGACATTGCAGCAATGTTGGAATATATGTCAGCAGTTTCCTCAGTGATTGTTGTTGAAGTTGCTTTACGAATTCGAATAGAAATGTACCGAAAACGACAAAAAAATTTCCCAGAATTTTCGGGAAATTTTCATATTGTCACCGCCACATGTAGTTAACCATGTGCATATTGATTTTCATATCAGTTGACTGTGGATTCCGCGATGGACCTGTTTGTTACAGCGGACCAGTTTGGAATAGACAGACTTAAGAAGATTTGTGAGAAGGAGATATTACAGAGTATCAACATCGATAACGCCCCTACGATACTGCAGGTGAGAAGGAGACTTTATGCTTGTGTGTTGTTAATGGTGGGACTAGACACATTCTGTGAGTAGTTGAAACGTTTACGGTAGATATGAATAGGAAATAAACACTGTACTAGAGGGTATGTCCCCCTAGTAGTAGACTGGTGCTACTACTAGTAGTAGTGATAATAATCTGCATCGCTCCGCCTTCCTTCAGGCAGCCGATATGCATGCAGCAAGTGGATTACGAAAGCGTTGCTTAGACTTTATACTGCGGAATTTTGACTCAATAAGTAGGGAGATTTTGGTATGCTATTAAGTAGAGTGTTTTGTGTCAGGTAAAACGACGGCATTCGAGGAGATGGGCAGGAATAATGTGGAACTTTTATTAGAGATATTACGCATGCGGTGATTTTACTGTTTATCACCAACATTTCGACATAACAGAATTCTGTGTTCGAGTACATCCTCCTCTATATTAGTGTTGGAAAATATGCACGTGGTCAACTACATGTGTTGGTGACAATATGAAAATTCTGAGGAAACTATTTACTTCTACCCGAATTTGTAAGTAAATTCCTGTAATTAGTAAGGAAACTCCTGAGCTTAGCTGAGGAAAGCGAACAGATATTCCAACACTGCTTTATTGTTTGTACAACAGTGAATAAATGAGATGGAGCAATTCTGAGATAGTAAAGATTTCAATGACCACCAGTTTAGCCTTTCCATACACGTAGTAAAGAAGACGATACAATCAGGAACAATGACCACCAGGTTAGCCTTTCCATACACGTAGTTGATACCATTTTAAGACGATACAATCAGGAACCTATAATTTTCCCGGGAAGAACTCACTCTGAATTTTCCATTTGCCTAGGAACAAATTCTTCGATCAATTTCTAATGTTACATTAGAAACTGATCGAAGAATTTGTAGTACTAATGTTGGTGTTCTGTGTACATGTTGATTAGTTCAACCGAGCTAATTAAATTAGTTAGTAATGTACATGTCACACTAGCAGCGTTTTTCCCATTGTTATCAGACCCTGAGGGGAAGTTGCTTCTTAAATGTGTATGGGTCTTTGAATACAATTAACGAAAAGAATTTACTCGAATTATGCAGAGATCTGATGAGAAATACCAGCGAACGATGAAGGATCAATCGTAATAACCGCTTTCCTCATGCAGTTCTCATCGAAACTGCTTAGCATAGCTTTGTCTAGGGGAATATACACGTGGTCAACTACGCGTGTTAAGGCATTTCTGACGCAATTCTTGTCGGCTTTTCACTCTGATTGTAGTATAAGGAAACTTGAGCCCGTCAGAACACATACCCCAATACTGTCTTGAAAAGCGCGAAGCACGACATGGTCTGTTTCCCGTGCAGCTGAGGACGTACATGATAACAAAGAATCTCCATCCCAGTATATGCCCACCTCCCTATTAATAACACTATAAACACAATAGATAAATAGTGTCTCAGAGATGACCTCCAGCCAAAGCGCTCAACAAACTGCCGTTCACTGCTGTTAGTAAGCAATGGGAAAGTGTCAATGCATTTCCTGATACCACTTAAGCGGTGAGGACGCAGACACCACCGACGGCTTGGATCTTCTCCTCGGCCTTCTTAGAGAAGTAACGAGCCTTGACGATGACGGGCTGCTTGGGAAGGTTGCCCTTGCCGAGGACCTTGAAATAGCCGGCCTTGGTGCAGTCGATTACGGGCGCCTTGTCCTTCTTGTCGGCGTATTGGAGACGGGTCTGCTCGGAAACGAGGGACCACAGCTTCTCGACATTAACCTCGGGGCGGTAGAACCTAATATGATAGAAATCGACAGGACTTCGGCTTGGTGTGGTATTATTACTTGTTCTTCTGGAGATGGAAGTAACGCATACCAACCTTACCGAAGTAACCAGGATGGTACTTATCGAAGTTGATACGATGGTGATGCTGACCACCGGCGTTACCATGTCCACCAGGATGCTTACGGTGCTTCCCGATACGACCGTGGCCGTGGGACACGTTTCCTCTATGCTTACGGGTCTTCTTGAGGCAGGCAGTCATCTTGAGTCAGATGCACTTCACCGAGGGCTCCAACCTAGTTTCCTACCACCAAATCGATCAGGCTATATTGTGGTTGCGTTGAGGAAATGCAAGATTGCAAGATTTTATTCCTGTACCGTGGTAGGATTCGGAGTTGTTCCACTTCCTATATGCGTCGTACTATACGGTGCCTTGACACGGCATTGAGTGGAGCCTCTCGGAAGGGTGATGGAAAGTTGCCGGTGATACGACTAAGTGAAATCGGGGAGAAAAAAATGAGCAATTCTCTTATACTAGTAGGAGCGACCAAAGGCATTTACGAATAGTCGTTGTGTTACAGCCCGTCACATTGCAAGCTAACGATATAAGGAAGAGTAAGAGCAAGCATCGTGACGTGGGAGTGGTGGAGGTGGTCGGTCCTTCTGGGAGGTCTTACGGCGTTGCTTCGTATAACCCCTCAGCGTACACATCTTGCAGGTGAGGGAGTATCTTTGGACCTCATCCGTATCTTTGTCGCTCAACCTCAGGATACTCCATCGAAACGCCCAAGTCCACATCGATCATGAGTTTTTCTATGATGCATTTAATAAAGCACTTCAATCTCGCATAGCCGCTTTTGGAGGTATGCCGGAGCTCCGGAAAAGACCCTTTCGAGTGAGCCCGCCTCCTGCCATTACTCCTTAGTATTTTCCCTTCAGCTTATCAACGGTGATGGCGACCATCTGTCTGGCCTGTAAGCCTCGTAACGATACTTTGTTGGAGTCTATGATACTGCTAGTTACGTGGACGTGTTCTCGCCTACTACTGCTATAGTGAGCTCATCGACAGCTTTCATGGACCGGCAAATGCAGCATATAGTGCAGGCCTTGAGGACTCTACTACCAGGATTGACGAAGGTAACATGATGGGCCTTTTTAAGAATGACAGTGTTGGAAAATATGCACGCATGTGTTGGTGACAATATGAAAATTCTGGGGAATTTTCGGGAGATTGGTGTTGGTTCTCGTACCCGAATTCGTAAGGTAGAAGTGCTCCTGAGCTCAGCTGAGGAAAACTGTCATATTTTCCAGGACTATATAAAGATCTCCTACAGGTTTATCTCCGTCATGATGATCATAGCAGTAGAGCGTTCGAGTTCCTTCCTTCTGTCCGACCTCATCTGCTCTGGTCTTCGGAGCCTCCCTGTACAGGAAGTGTGGATATCACTGGTAATCATGGAGTGTGAGAGGTGTTGACTCAGTGATGGTATGGCGAATTATGGTCTTCCAGGGTTTAATAAATGTGCTCGAAAAGTGACATTGATTGAAGAATGTGTTCCTAGCCGTGTGGGAAAAATTCAAAATGAGTTTGTCTCGGGGAAATTATGGGTTTCTGGTTGATACAGTGTGTAGGTCTTCACCACCAAATGACGAGCGATGAACTACTACTACTACAGCTACCGGTATGGTTGAGATTAGCCCGGCCTGATGCGACGAGGAGGAAGGTGCTAGCAGTCTCGACTGTCGCGGGGAGGTTGGCCACATCGATGGTGAAGACCTTGGAAGGGGGAGAGGAGGAATTTGAGGAAAAGGTGGGCATGGGAATGTGAGGTTTGTATGTTACGAGGTGCAGAAGTGTGAGAGGATTTATATGTGGCGAACTACATACGAGGTGACAATATGAAATTTCTGGGGAAAATTTTTGGGAAATTCTTGTCGGTTTCTGAACACTTCTTCTGCCTGAGTTTGTGTGTTGTGAGGAAACTCCCGAGCTGAGCTGGGGAAAGTGAATATATACTCCATCACCCTAACTGGGTGTATTCCTCCTTGTCGGCTCTACTTGCGCGTAGCCGTACGTACGAGTTCCACAGAAATATCATATGTTGATATGATTGTAAAAAATGATATCAATAGCCTTCCTATGTGTAGCGTGTCGGGTCCACGACACTCTGTTAGTTCAGGTGATGGTCATAGCAGTGGAGAGATCGAGACGGCTGTGTAGGGAGATGGAGGAGTCTATCAAGTCGAGTTGCATTCGGAGTAGAGTAGTAGTAGAGCACAACGTACCGCGGCTGTGGCTCGAGGAGAGGCGGGATATGGTAGTGTCCAGGGGGGGAAGGCTCGTTGGGAGGTATCGTGTTCGGTTGTGAAGTATTTATGAAAGTGTTAGAAGTTACATTCAAATGATCTACAAGCCAATTATAGGTGTCGGAATGTATGTAAGCTTTCTTCAGCTGAGTTCAGAAGTTTCCTCATTAATTATAGAAGTTTAGATGCGAATTAGCGTAGGGGAAAACAACCGATATTTTCCGATATTTTCCCGAAATTTCCCGAAAATTTCCCCGAATTTCCCGAAATTTTTCCGGAATTTCCCATGTTGTCACCAACACATGTACTATTTTCCTGAACTGCTTGGAGATCATATCGATTACGTAGGCGGGCGAGTTTGACATGGTCATCATATCCCCACGAGTGTCGGAGGTTGAGGCTCTGAAGAAGCTGCTCGCCTCCGCAGCCCAGCAGCTCGTCCCAGGAGGGGTACTGGTCTTGTCTGGGGTTGACGAAGTGGGTTTTTCAGTTTTTGCGTCGCTCCGCTGTATTATTGGCATTTTTAGATTAGATATGTTCGATTTCAGAAGATCTTATTGCAGGCTCTCGCTCCGCGTCTGGCCACTTTGATGTGGGGATTTCGTCGAAGTCGGGAAGTGAATCGTTTTTGTTTGTAGTTACGAATCTACGGGTGCATCGGATTTCCCACTACCCCTGGTGCCCTCAGCTCGGGACGGCTGTGCTGACAGGGTATTGGCTGTTCGTGTTGGTAGTGATGTTTATGATGCATAGTAATACTAGTGGTGGAGAAATTTTACATGTGTTTCTGTTGATTGTGTTTCATGAGTGTTTTGATCGGTAGTGTTGTAGTTGGAAAATGGGAGACTTAGTTGTTTTGTGTAGTGACTGTCTCGATGTTCGGCATCTTATTTAGAGTGCTCCCAGTGATTCAACTCCTGTGTATGGGAGTATTGGGTTTACATCCGGACGAGGCGATGAAGTAGTATCTTTAGGTTGAGCATGGAAGATACGGGAGTGTGTCCAGATACGATTGGTTCGTGCGTAACATTGGCGGTATATCAGCCGTCCCTGAAGTCCTCCCTAGTGGCGATATATTCGTTGGCACTGATGAAGGGGTTATTGCTGTAATAATCTACTACTATTACTATCACTACATGTGTTTTTTCTCACCTCATTCGTTTGTGTGGCAGGTGCTAGCTAAGGATACTGGTATCCTACAGTGGCGAACTATTATGTCGCCAAAGTCATCGATCGTGGATATCCGTGTGCTTGGAAGGTCCAACGTTGGACTGGTACAGACAGCGAAGGGGCAGGTGTGCTGGGGGGATGCGCCTAGTTTGATATTATTGAAATTTTTGATCTTGTTAAGATATTGGAGTTTTACGTGAAGTAGCGTAATACTCTGAAAACGCGATATTCGCGGTAGTATGTTTTTCACTAGTGTTTCTCATATCACTAGGGTGAAACTCAATTATATCATTTTCAAGTGGCATATAGTACTATAAGAAAAGAGCATTCGTATTCATAAATATGAGAGAAACATCATCTCGAAATTTACGTTCTAGTAATATTACCGGTGTTTCACCCGTTTTACGTGGAGTGGCGTAATACTCTGTAAAAAACCCGATGTTCGCGGTGATATGCAGTAGTCGTGAAATATATATTTTTCGCTATTGTTTTTCATATCACTAGGGTGAGACTCCATTATAGTGATACTAATATTGAATTCATATCGCATTCATACAAGGGGAATTTAAGATTTCAATTTTGATCGTTTTGAATTTCTTCTTTTTCAGTTGTTCGCAATAGATCTCGAAAAGGGCAACATCGTTCGGGAGCTGACGAGGTCCAAGGTCATCAACTTCGACGTTTGCGAGAATCTATCCAATAAGATGCAGCCTCTTATTCACGTTGGCTGTGTTGATGGTCATCGTAAGTAGTCTACCCCTGAGCACTGCATGGTACGGTACTTGAGAACTTAGATATTTTCGATCTTGAAAAAGCTGAGCTCAAGGAGCCTGATAGCAGTAGTTTGCCTACAGCGGTAAGAGAGGGAGGAATTTGCTCTGTGGTGGCTGAAATGTCGATAATGGAATAAAAAGTGCAGAAAAAGGGGTGTAGAGTGAATGTGAATCGTGTTGGAGTGCCGTACGTGGTAGTTTGATACGCAAATGTGTGTTATTTTAGAGGACGAATTTTAGTGAACAAGTTGTCGCAGACGGGTACTTTCATCACAACACATGTTCATAGTTATGGTTACGTTAGATATGCGATATAGTTGCAGATTGATTCTCATTAACCTCGAGAAATAACGCACATTTGCATATCAAATTGACACTCTTTTCTCAGCTGGGCTCAGGAATTTGCTCTCTCACGAGTCGGAGTGTGTAGATGAATTCTGGTAGAAGTGCCCAGAAACTAACGAGAATTTTCCCTCAAAATTTCCATATGACAAATGTGGTTGATTCGTGCATGGGTGTAGGTTTCCTGCTCTTCTCGAAAAGATGGTACCGCTTTGGAGTTCTCGAATGAGGGTCTTGCCTCGGCTACGGCAGTGTTCGTAGACGGCGATGGTTTGCATGTGCGGGTTAGTCCGATTAAGGTGGGAGAGTTGGGGAAGGGATGGTATGGTTGGAGGTGTTGTTGGCTTCAGATTGAGAGATATCTTATGTCCACTGGTGGGCCTATTCCGTATCTTGAAACGGGAACCTCTGAGGAATCTGATTTTATTATGCGAGAGATCAAGTTTCCGACGACTTCTATTGGAAACGAATTGGAGGTGACAAGGTTGATATCGCAGTTTTACCGCTCTACGAAAATTGCACAAATTGCGAAATTGTGCAAATATCATACGAATATCGTCGCTCTGTACGATATTCTCATCTATGGAGAAGGAGTTTTTGTGATTCAGCGTGACGCTACCATCGAATTTTTGCTGACATTTTTATGGTGGTATTATCAGCGTGAGAAGGTGACACGTTGACATTGACGATATTAAAACTCTGGAAGGGATTTTCGGGAAATTTGTATTGGTTTCTGTGCAATCCTATACTGATTCGTGGAATTATTGAGGAAACCAACTGAGCTCAGCTGAGGAAAGCAACTGAGCTCAGCTGAGGGAAGCAACTGAGCTCAGCTGAGGGAAGCAACTGAGCTCAGCTGAGGGAAGCAACTGAGCTCAGCTGAGGGAAGCAACCATACATTCCTTCAACACTGCATGTTATTGACTCTATTCTATGGGTGATTTCTGTGGTAGATGCTGAACAATCCTGAGGGGTTTATGAAGGGTGAACATGTGTACACGAAGAAGGTCGGAAATGATATGAAATTGGAAGTTAACTTTGATGGTAGTAGACATGCCGCTTGCCGGGATCGAACCGGGGACCTTTGGATTACTCAGATCTATCATTACGTATGAAGAAGGGCGAGAAGGTGCTATGGACTCGTGAAGAGAGCTTGTCGAAACCGGCACAAGTCGTGACTCTCACTGAAGGTGGTAATAAGGGTGCTATATTTCTGTGATGTATATTGGAGTTCCACTCGTCGTGAAGTGGCGTAATACTTCATGTGGAAGACGCGATTTTTTCGGTATGAAGTGAACTGGAAGTACTTCCGTAGATAGGAGTCACTTCGCACATGTTTACCCAAAATTGATATATTAAAAATATGATATTTACATGTTGAATAGAGTAAGCTGCGTATCGAATCAATATTGATAGTTTTCAGTCAACAAGAATAGACGGGCGAAAATGAGATCTCAAATCTCAGTGTTAGGGATAGGGGAGTTTCACCCGTTTACCGTGAAGTGGCGAAATACTCCATGTGAACTATAGGACGTATATGTTTCTGTGACCGATAATACAATTGTATACCGCGAAGTGAAATGTGTTTTCACTAGTAATTTTTTTCTTTCATATCACGGGTATTCAGGATTTAGAATTTACTGTATTGGAATTTAACCGTTACCTGTTGTGATAGTGCATGTTAAAGCTCCGAATTCTCTTTTGAAATCTTTCAGAGCGGCGGTGTATCCTATGTGTTCTGCTCACGTGCCTCTCGCTTTGAATTTTCACTTTGCCTCCTTTTCAGCCGGTTCTGGTAACGGTGCCTCTGTGGGAGGGTTGATGGACATCATCCCTACGTCTATGGCTGAGGTGGAAGCTTTGGTGGCCAGGACGAGTGCATGGTTCGATGATAGAGTTCAGAGTAGGCTCAACGGTGTGGGAAAATATGCGCACTATGAAAATAGTTATCAGTGACATTAGGTATGTAGCAAGTTGCTACATACATGTAGTTGCTACTAGCAACTACATGTGTTGGTGAAAATATGAAAATTTTTGAGGAAAATTTTGAAATTTCTTGTTGGTTTCGGAATACTCGTAGCTGAATTCGTGTGTAGAATTGTGTAATTAGTGAGGAAACTGCTGAGGAAAGCGAAGATATATTCCTCCAGCACTGCTTGACTAGGTATTGGTAAGCAGAAGGCTGAGGTCAGTGTGCCTGAGGCTAAGGAGGTGGCGATTGATGGAGTGGTTCTTGGGAGGCAACCTGGCAACGCGGTAGATGATATGACGAAGTTACGGTATGACGAGGGTGATTTATTTTAGCGCCAATTGGCTGACCTTATTGGTCCTCACTTGAAGATAGGAGTGGTTCTATCGGAGACGGGGAAGCTGTTTGCTATCGACCTTGCCACTTCGAAGATCCTATGGTCGAAAATGGCGAGCAGGGATTGCGTCATAGACAGGCATGGCAGAGGTCGTGGGTTCGATCCCCGGTATGTCCGTTTTTTTTCAGAGTGAAGAATGGGCCGAAGATCTGGTTGCGAATTTCACACTCGAATGGGAAATACGATCTTATCGAGCCAACGACAGGTAGTAGGAGCGCGAGTTCGGCCTGTGTACCCGTTTCACTCTCTTTGGATTCTCCGATGTTACTGGATGATCGCAACGATGGGGTCTGGTCTGACTGACCAATGAGGAAGGCGGTCATCATCTGTGGTATACTGTCGCTAGGCTCGGCAGTCTAGGGGTAAATTTTTTTGGGCGACAGATTTGAAAATTTAGTAGTAGGACGTACCACATGAGGTAGATGTGGAAGAGTAAGAGTCGTATGTCACTGACTTGCTATCATTGTATATCGCTATTATTACTCTGATATTGCCGTTACTCTCGCTGTGTTCACTTCCGTATGCATTTTTTCCTTGTAGGAGACGTGGCTCAGTCGGGAGAGCTTGATGATAGTTCTAGTGGGCATACGTATGCTCTCAATGGTACCAACTTTGTCGGCTACTATGCTGGCAAGGAGGCTTGGGTCCTCCGTTTGAATGGTAAACGGTCGTTGTAGTAGCGGACGTTGTTATGTTATGTCCTGTTGTTAGATGATACGGAGCAGGTTGTTTCTATTGTGGAGCCCCGACAGGATTATTTCGGTCATGTACCTGTGGTGGTGAAAAGTGATGCCTCGGTGTTGTACCGGTACATCAATGCTAACCTCATTGGTAGTATAGGACCTCGTAGATTGTGTCGCTCACTTTAGGGAAGTGAGTTAAAACTGTTGGTTGTCGTCAGTCGCTGTTGACCAGCGTGGGAGAATATGCAGATGGTCGGCTACATGTGTTGATGAAGACCTGAAAATTTTGAGGAAAATTCGGGGAATTTCTTGTTGGTTTCGGAATACTCGTAGCTGAATTCATGTGTAGACTTGTATAACTAGTGACGAAAGCGAACAGATATTCCAATACTGTCACCCTCTTGAGCCTAATAGCAGTATTCGAAGGGCGCTGGAGGCTATGATTATCAGGTGTGATAACGGAGAACTCTGCAGGGTATCTTTTCGTGAGGCTGATTGACTCGGTGACGGGTGCATTGGTGTACGAAACAAAGGTAGGGAGGAGGGTGGCTCGCGCGTTTCTGAGAGTTGTGGCGATAGGAGAGTATGCACATGGTTAACTATATGTGTTAATGATGATTTGGATTTCTCGGGAAATTTGTGGGAAATTCTTGTTGGCTTTCACATGTGTATTGTGGAAATTGAATATATATTCCTGTTATTGGAAGCGTCAGGTCCCCCACGCGTCGGAGCCAATTATGATCATCTTCGATAACTCTGCTATAGTGTACTATCATAACGATAAGGCCAATAGGTAGTTTATGCAACTTTTACAGCTGCAATTATTTTCGATGGCAGGAACGAGTTGTTAGTGGTTGATCTGTTCAAGGACAGGGACGACCATGGATTTTGGGAGACTATGAAAATGTCTCAAAAGGCTAGGGAGGACGGGGCCATCGAGGGTAAGCGCAGAAAGGTATCATAACTTCACCATAGTGCGTGATAGGTAACTCCACTAGAGTGTCGGCTTATGCTCTGGAGATGCCCATTGCTGCTGCACAGCAGTTTGTGGTACCTCAGGCTGGTAATGCCAGGGATGGTGACACCAGGTGTCACCGCTGCTTTCAGTTATTAGTATGGGAGTGAGTACTACGCAGAAGGGTATCACTCCGAGGAGCGTGTTCTTGGGGTTGGCCTCTGGTAAGGTTCTGGCTGTGAATAAGGATACTGTGCTCAACCCTCGTCGTCAAACAAAGTGAGTGATGATTGATCCATACTATCCATCCGTCACTTCTCACTTCTATATAGCCATCCAGTGAGTGGCCGTTCGAGCCGTCTGCAGAACGTGGCGTCTGATAAGGACCATGATGCTTCGCTTCCTGCGTAAGTGTATATGACTATAGAATTTTCTCGTTGCAGTTGTATTGCAGTTATGCGCCTTTGATACCGGTGAAAGCTACTGATGTGGTCACTTATAGTAATCAAGTGGAGGGGTTGAAGTTCATCCGAACAAGTGAGCCGGAGTCTGCTCGTCGTCATTTTCGAGGAGTTTCTTTTATCAGCGCCGACCCATTTCGAGTCGACCTCATTGTTGGTACTCTTCGGTTTGGATATGTACATGATTCCTACGAACACGGCGCAGCGTTACGATGTAAGCGTCACTGCGCCACGAAATTCGGAGGTGTTTTGTTCTGTTCAGCTGCTTGGACCTGACTTCGATTATCCTCTACTGACTATCAGCATTGCTGTTGGTAGGCTGGACTGTGGCTGTGTTCATGTGGAAAGATATTTTTGTCAGTCCTCGCGACAATCCTTATCACAACGCGGATGGCCTCGCGTAAGGCTTTGGAGAACCGATGGAAATGATTAACCAACACTGTTCTGAATAGATATATCGAATGTTTCTATCTGTAACCTGCTTGTCGTGCTCTTCACTGGAATCTTCGCTGTGCGTTGGGAAAGATTTGTTTTTCTCTCTAGTGGGAGGAGACGTAGTTTGTTGTCTCCTGTGGTTACGTTATTTCCTCCATTTTTGAAAGACTCCGAGGGAGAGTTCTTGGCCTTGGCAATGTGCCGAGATGAGAGCCGACGTTAGTAGGGATATCTTTTTTGTGGTGCTGTTGATAGGAATCTTCGCTGTGCGTGAATGGGTTTTTGTAGTGGGTGTCTTGGCACTTGTATATATATGAGCCTGTTACCAGCACCACTTTCCTCGACGTTTGCTACTGGAAGAGGGACCCAGTCAAGGGTAAGGAGTGTATTAGAGAAATGCACTGTAGACCGAAAAGTTGCCGAGGAATCTCAGAAGAATGATAAAAGTGATCAGAGAACTGATCTCAGGAAGTTTTCGCTGACGCTCAGAACGTAGAAAGCCTTTACTAGGTTTAGCTGAAAGGAAGAGTTGTTTTCGGTCTGTCATTTCGTGTTATGCAGGAGGGTCTTGATGCAGCATAAAAATCTTGCCTAGGTTACTGGAGGTATGCTCATCCCAGCTAGTGGTGCTGATACTAATATAGCGCCAGCTGTGCGCTTCCAGCGATTGGAGGATGATTACGCTGGTGGTGACTATGAATACGAGGAAACTGATGGTAATACTTTGGGGGGCAAATGTTCTTGGTATTTCGTAGTAGGCGCGTTCGGGATACATGAGCTAGCACAAATGCTCGGCACAGTATTGGAATGTGTGTTGATTTCCTCACTACATTTTAGAAATTACAGTCGCTTCAGGGTGCAGAAACCAAAAACTTCCGAAATATCTCAGAATTTTATATATCACCAGTATCACAAGCAGTTGAGTATGTGCGTATTTCTCTACGCTCTGCTCGGATAAGAAGTGGAGTCTATGTTTTTCATCAAGCCTTGGCGTGATGCTCATCATCAGGTTCATCAAGGTGCTATCACCATTTTGGATTATGCGGGAACGCCGATGCGGAAGTCGTCATGAAGAGCTCAGGGAGTGGTATGGATTAGGGTAGTGTGAAAAAATGTGCACATAGTCGACTACATGTGTTGGTGACAATATGAAAATTCTGAGGAAATTCTAAGGAATTCTTATTGGTTTCTGTACACTTTTACCCGAATTTGTATGCGAACTCCTATAATTGGAGAAACTCCTGAACTCAGCTGAGGAAAGCGAGCATGTATTTTAACACTAGGTAGGCTCGTCTACAGTTCATATTCGCCGAGGGGGGTACTCGGCGGCTGCATTACCTCTCTGTGGAGAGTGTGATATGTTGATAGTGAAGGAGATAGATGAGGAAGAATAGTTAGCATCGATGATGTACATCAATAATATTGTGCTGCTTGGATAAACTGCACGCCTGCGCATGGTTATTTTGGCGCACGTCGGGGCGAATCGACCAAAAATTCGAAGGGGCTTCAACCATAATTTCGGTGTATATTTGTTATACTGATATGCACCATGAAGTGATATGAATATTTACGGGTTACGTTGAAAATTCGGGTCTTTACGTATTTGCATAATGAAAACGTAAGCACGTGAAGCATGTAAGTTTTGGCCCTCATTCACTCTGTGGGCTATCCTACTAAGTGTTAACTGAGGAAATGCTCGTACGCCCATAAGAGGATTGCTGATCGGAACTCTCATGAATTATTCCCCTTCAGGCGTTTCATCCACTCCTCGGCTGAAAAGGAAGTACTTTGAAATTGGCCAGGACGAGGTGGCGTACTCTCTATCATCACTTGGTGAGGAATAGGACAGCTGCTTGTTGGAGTCTCGGTTGGGCAGATATTACGTTCGAGACCTTACCCTTGTGCGTGTTGCCGAAAAAACGCTCATTATGACTATAGGGTGGTCGTGGTAGATATACTTGTCTGGTCTAGTTTGAACATAATGCGGACACCCCATGTGGGTCCGTATTTCCTCTGTACTACGATTTTCCATGCTTCAAGTTCTGGTCACATGTAGACGTTATCTCGGCCGTATCGGCTGTTCTTATTACAATAGCATCGTCGAAGGTATTCCTATCACATGATGGATTTTACCTTACTCATGGTTTGGTGCTTTTTCATGAAACTCAGTAGAGTATTTTGATCATTTTGTCTTTTGTTGTGTTTTTGCAGTGGCAACGAGGGAGTGCTCTTGTCAGCTCTTTTCCCCTCCTATGATGCTAGACACTCTCGAGCGGATAAGTCCCATAACACTGTAGTGCCATAGGAGCACCAACTGAGGGGGAGGTTACGTTTCGCTGGCCAGTTGGGGTCAGTCGAACGGTAAGAGCATGGGGAGCTAGACAATAGTGTATTTGTCGAAAAAAGTGCGGAGATGTTTTATCTCGGGGAAAAACGTCGAATAGAATTCACATTTTTATAAACTAAATATGACTATAGAGCACAACTCATTCATTGGAGTACCACTGTCGGTGAAAAAAAGTCTTATTTTTATAAACTTCCGACAGCCACGCATGTGGATTCTATAAGCATTGAAAGGGACTCTGAATCGAAGTGAATTGTTCCATTTCGTATATCGGTGTACGCTACTTCGCGGGTCCGGATATAGTCGTAGTTATTTACTCTAAAGAAAGATCAATTTGGTCGGCACAAGACAACAGTTCATGACATGTGGGCGCTCATCGCGATAACAGCAATCGTTCACAACTGAATAGAGCTGGCAGATCGAACTAGTCGGACTTTGCCGTAGGACTTGAACGGAACATCGTTTTGAGCCTTCTAAAACTCTTCCTGAAACTAGATTTCAGAATGCCGAATCTGCTGGTCTTTTCCAAGCCTAGAAGTTTCGGGAGTTCACTGCTGCTGAAGGGTTGACCTTCGACAGTGGGCAAGCGAGCTTCTGGCAAGCTCAGTCTGGTGCCATCAAATTTGCTCTGATCGACGGGCTCCAGGATGACCACGCACGGCTCGTAACCTCCTTTTTTGGTGAAGGAACCACGAATAGCGGTCCCAAGCATGGTGTAGAGGAGGGTGTCGTAGCTTCTGTCGACTGCGATATGTTTAAGCCGTGAATCTCCATCGAACGTCATCGTCACGGCCATACCGTCTTTGACGAAACCATAGTACATACCGTTCGGCGTCGGATCTTGCTGACTCTCACTCACCAGCAACTTATCCTCAGTACAAAGACGATTTGCAGTTATGACTTCGGGGTCGTCTTGTCGCAGAGAGCTGGAGTCGGGCTCCGGTGTGAATTTGTGACTGGTAATCGGCTTGAAAGTTCCAAAGCACACTCCGGGATTTTTTTCCACCGGTGCCCAATAATGTTCTGAACCTCTCTTGTCGTCAACAGTATATACCCACATGCTCGCTATCTTCACTTCCTTACTTGGTGTGCGATGGATCTGCGAGTAGCTGCACTCAATACCATCGACCGTTTGACGTCTCCTCTCCGTTGCTTGATCGATGCTACCCTTTGGTAAAGGTTCGAAATAGTACCTTGTCCCCTCGTCCGACTGACCGACGAGGATCTGCTTTACAGTACAGTTGAAGGCAGTCGAGCTGCCCTGTGCAGCCTCTACTTCCTGCTCGCCCCCTATGGCCGAGGCATATATCTCCGACGTCAGAGTAAGCGTCATTAGGAAACCCGTTTCGTGATGGAGTCTCATTGATGGGGAAAAGGAAGACCGAGAAAGTCTGAGGCATACAAATAGCCACAACGTTCAGAAATTTATATCTCCTTCGTTCCTCTACATATACTATGTTGTTTATAGCCGGCTAAGACCTTGGCACGGAAACGCCATTGCTCGAGAGCAGAGGCGTCGTTGGTATTTTCGTGGCGAGCGCTACTTCGAAGAGTCAGACATCGTAGCTGCAAGAGATTTGACTCAGAATGGCATGAACACTTAGACAGTGGCGAGGTGAGAGAGTCTGTAGGTTTCTGGGCCATGCATTGATGGCGAACAGGAGCCATCTCGAGGACGGGTGGGCCGGAGGAATTCCTGTCAAACTAGTCTTCTTTATGGGTCCATCAACTCTTGCACTTTTAAGGCGCAACAGCCCGTTAGACTCTGCGATCGTTAGATTTCGGCCAACTTGTGCTGCAATCAACGCTTCGCTCCGCTGGCCTCCCGATAGTGCTCGCTCTGTCAAAACGTGTTTCACGTCTCTAGCTTGCTTGTTTATGACGGCTTTTTCAATAGCTCTCCTTATTCTGGCTTTTGTACGCAACGTCGGAACTGAGTGAAGTCGATAAATGTGTTCCTGGAACTCTCACATGCTACAGTTTAGTAGATTTAAGATAGGGGAGCTGCCCGGTATCCACTTGAACGGAACAAGAGCTTATACGGCTGTGACAACACGTACAGCAAGAGTATTTTCATACATATTTCCACTCCCGACTGTATGCGCAACGATATCTTCGCTGAACAAACTTTTCCGTCGCATCGCGCCCTGAAAGATTGCCATCACTCGGTGAAGGGTGCCACGTCGTGACAGACTTACATCATTACTGTCGGCCACTCAGTCGCTCACCATCTAGTCGTGGCGGTCTGAATAGTCGTCTGCCTCTGTATCAGCCTCTGTGAGGAGCCTGATTCTGAGCTCATCCCTCGAGCGTCGGCTGGGCATGAGCCTCAGCTCTCTGATTCCTCTGATCCCTTTCCTAACGCGAGAGGCGACCGCCTTGAACTTTTTTGTGAGACCGAGCAGGTCCCGTAGATCGCTCCTGTCGAAGGTCTGCCCAACTATGGTATTCAGTCGAGCAAGCGCGAAGCTTTCCCTCGTACCGTTGAATGTGTTTGGGTCAACGGGCTCGACGATCAGACCAACTTCTTCTGAGCTTCCTTCTTTGGTAAACACGCAGTTTATCGCTTTTCCAATCATTTTGAAGGTCAACACATTGTGGCGCCATCCTTGGCGAGCATCCACCTCGACATGCTGTATTTGTGACTCCTCATCGAACTTGATGGTTGCTTCCAGTTCATCTCCAATGAAGCCATAGTAAACACCGTTGGGAGCGGGCTCCTCTTCGGCCTCGCTAAGCAGGAGCTCGTTTTCTGTGCATAGCCTATTCGCGGTGATGACTATCGGGTGCGCCGGAAACAAGGGCTGTAACCCTTTATCCACACCGCTCAAAGGCGTGAACGTCTCGAAACACGTCTCATCGGCGATCTTTCCCGAAGCCTTGAAATCCTTATATCCTATAGTATCATCCACAGTATAAAGCCTAGCATCGTACTTCTTCGACTTCTTGGATGCTTTCACATATGATTTTGTATAATAACAGTGGAAACCGTCTACTTCTCGGTCGTCCATGTTCGATACGGCCAAGGACATCTCCTTCGGCACCAGTTCGAAATAGTACCTTGTTCCCATGGGAGATTTTCCAAGAAGAACTGGCTGCTGCTGACGTTGTCCCATGATCCCCGCTTGTAGTACCAAGATTGAGGCAGCTCGGAAACGTACAACAGAAGAGCTGTGAGGCATAGATCCTTGTTGGGCCAAAGAAGAATCAAGCTGGCGGGATTCAAAGTACCCGGATAAAGCTAACTTTTGGTGTCGACTGAAGAGATAGGAGACGGGTGAGCTCGAGTTCGACGATGCTGGTGGCGTGAGTAAGCCGCTCGAGAACTGAGACTTCGCCAAGACGTCTCCGAGGCGAGCGCGCCTCTGATAATTGTACCGCTTCAAGAACACACACGAACACCCGTGGAGACGAACTGAACTTCACTCTTTACGTGCCGCTCAACTTTGTTGTGGTACGCATAGAACTGCTGATCGTCGAGGCAATCACGTAATATACACAAATCAACTTTCAGACTTGTGCCGGTGCGAAGTCTTGCGTATTGTGAACGCACTCGCGGTACTTCCTCCTCGAAGGCTACGTAAGCCTCTGAGTTGGTAACGTAGCGATTCGTCAGCATGCTCATGGGAACCAATGTTTTTCAAGGAAACTTTGCGATGGATCCGAGCCCTCATGAAGTGCTCATCGATGTGGTCCAAGTTGGAGTCCAACTGGACCGTCCAACCACCATCTTTAAATGTGAAGTTTTTGTACGTAAGAGCAGCGTCGGCTATGTGGAGTGTATATTCGTAGGGGAAAGGTTTCATACTAGATGAAGCCCTCCCCGCTTACCTTGAGTATCCAGAAGATATGTATGAACCAGCCTGGGTTGAAGACTCATTGCCAATAGCGGCACGGGGGAGTACTATCCATTACCAAGTTAGTAATACCAACAACGAGGAACGCTACTCTGATCTGGCATAGGTATAAGTATTCAAATTAGATGCTAACAATGCGTCGATAAAAGGAAATACCATAGTCGGGTTATGATAACACCGGCACTTCCGCCTCTCGTTGGTCTGCATCCTGTCCTTTCTTACTTCGGTGGGAGGTCGTATCGACCTCCGGCGCTACTATCGATGGGAAGGATGCTGAGACTCACCAGGAGGGTCATCATACGCTGATGCGCCGCGCTTGTCGTTCATCTAGTTCGTGATCTCGAGAGACACTCACGGGGAGGATACCATTCGTGTTGGCAGCGTTGTTCAGTTGTCTGTCACTGTCAATGTCGGCTCCGGGCGGTGCTCCGATCTCCAGCAAGCTGACCTCTGAGGACGTCAAACGTCTCAAGGCCGCCATAGAAGCAGCAGAGACAGTTGACGAGATCACACGGCTCGAGCGTGTCCTCCTTACTGGTCGAATTGATGATGTTGCCGACCTCTTAAGAAGAGAAGGAGGCGGGGGAGATGTCTTGTCGTCCTTGTGGGCGGATACGAGGTCAGAGAAGCAGAAAGAGAAAAGGTGCGTCGGCGATCTGCGGCGATCCATATGATGATTCCTTTCAGGGCTCTCTCTAGCAAGCCCATCACGGAGCCCTCGGGTCATCGAGTAGTGCCTCCCCTCCTAGCCGTGCCCTTGCCAAAGCGACCAAGGCTCAACGAGTGGGGCAGTCGTCCATCCCACGAAGTGCCGAAAGAAGTATTGTGGTCGTATAAATAAGAGGCTGACGAACACCGAGGCTCAGGTCCTGACGTGCCTTCATACACGTCTGCTTATCCGAGCTCGACTCAGCGGTAACTCTCGAGGACTTGAACCCGTGATCGATCCGGATGCTGATATCAAAGGGTGGGCTTCAACGAGAGGTGAGTTTGACTCTATCTTTCTTCCTGTTGGAGTATGGTCGTTCAGTCCTGGCACGTGACTCGCCAGTGAAGGAAGATTCAACGGGCTCCTCAGTCGAAGCACCACACCGTCGTCGGGATGTGATCGCCATCAGCGTTGGCATGTGTTCCACTCTCGATCCGACCGATGGCAGGACCTTGGGCCGGGAACTGTGCCGAGTGGTCGTGAGGGACTACAGTGAGGTAAGTATATTTCCGCGGACGAAATATCTTGCCGTCATCTCAGGACAACGAGGTTTTGCTGGATGTCCAGGTGAAGCCTGTTGGGCACATAGCAGATATGAGACCACACTCGACCGGTAAGAGGCTTGCGAGCTGATCTGGAAGACCGCAGTCGATGCTTCAGGGTTGGAGTCTCTCACCGAATCGGCGGCGCCTCCCAGCGTTGCCCGTCAGAAAGTGATGGACCTCATGCACAGCGGAACCGTTGTCCTCTGCATGGTATGGGACGGTTGAGGTGACGCCTTGATGGGAGAGTGTTTGTGTTCAGTCTATGCTGCCAGCGAAGGCACTAGAGATCCGCCACGAGTGCTGGTTGCCAGTAGGTGGAGAATGTTCGCCTGTGGGGATCGAACCTGCGTCCTTTTCCTTGCCAGATGACCCACCTGTTCGAGATGGACTCTTCGCGAGTGAATAAGGACGACGTGTATGTGAAGCTGCCTCTTACACACCGGCAGCTCCATGCAGCTGTATTAGGGGAGGCCGACGGAAGCCTTGGTTCGAGGAGAGGTGAGTCTCATCTCTTCCGCATATTTAGACGATTCATCAGAGCCCACCCTCACCGACCCCTTGTTGGCCGAGTCACTGGACGTGATCAAGCTTGTAAGGGGTGCTGTCTCAACGGAGCTGGCGAAAACTGGACCAGATGGTGGCGAGTCGGACGCCTTGGAGTTGACGCATGCACTGAAGATTGGCCCCCCTTTGAGGCCTAAGGAGATATCCGTGAGCTGTCTACTACATCGTGACTAGCAGCCTCTTTATGTGCAGGTAGAGCACATCCCTTCTGATTGGCGGGACGCTGAGATATCAGCCCTCTTTCCGGATGCTTCCGCCATACACGCCGTCACTTGGGAGCTCGTGCAGTCCGAACCACGAGTGGGATCATCGTAGCCTAGCGAAGATCGTCTCAACGTTTACTTGTCTCAGAGCGAGCTGGAGTGGCGAGGGCACTGCATAGTAGAGTTCGCTAGTGTGAATGTGCGCAACAAGCAGTTCTCCAACCTGCAGGGGTATTTTTCCCACGGCGTGAGTCCCGTGATCCGATTCTTTCAGTTGCACTGATGTGTTCGTTGGCTATGATTGGGAGGTGGCAGAGGAAGTTGATGAGGAGCTGCTGAAACAGCTAGCGTCCGAGTTCGGCGTCGTCAATCATGCGAGAATCCCGGCCAAGTTTCGGCCGCCCTTTAAGAAAGATGAGAAAACTCGTCCATTCGGCTTCGTATCTTTTGCGCACCGGGAAGACGCAGTTAAAATGGGCCGAAAAAAGAGCCTTCGAGCTCCCGGTAAGCGAAAATCAGCAGCTCCGCTCGCAACTGTGCTCCCTTCAGGCACTGGTGCTGACGGAAGAGTCGTTCTGTTGCGACCCAAACTCGGTAAACATTTAGATGGTCCATTGAAGAGAGTACCCGTGAAAATCGGTGATTACATCGAGGTTCACAAAACGTGACTTTCCATCGGTTTCGAGTTGCGTTATACCCCTCATAGGAGCATTCGTGGGCCCCACGAATTCGAAGCATCCCCGGGGTCTTCTGTCACTTTCTAGTCTACATGTCCCTGCCTGCCCACTTCCCCATCGTGCGCCCCGGGTGCACCGAGGTTTCTACAAAGTTCTTCGACTGTTTTCGAGAGGCTTGCCAGCCAGAAGGGAACGTCGAGAAGGCGCGTACGGCTGTACAGCGCTGTGAGAAGGAACTTGAGGTGGGCTTATTTAGCCGACTCTTCCCTAGGCATGTGGTTTCAGGAATACAATAAGTGTTTCGAGGAGAGCTTGAAGGGCCGTGCTCAGCCTGTTGTGCTTACTAGATGGGAACAAGTCGAAGAGATGCTGAAGGATGATGATTGATACAAACCAGCATGTGTCATTATATTAACGTTTCCGTTGACCGATTTACCCTCGAGCAAACCAGTAGTCCCACGATATGAGGAAGATCATCATATTTTTAAGAATGAAGGCTCTACAGCCTGCTGACAGTTTTTACACATAATTAAGGAAACTTCTGTCGACTTCTCACGCGGATTGCCGCACGACGTGTATTAACATCTTCGCGTGTTTGTTTTATTCTAACTGACTCTACCTCCTGGGTCTCTGGCGGCGCCTTTGCTTTCCCGTCACTGGATGTCCACAACCACTGTGATCGAGTGACTGAGATTAACGCAACGGCCTGATGATGCGAGCTGTTTCCATCTCAGGCGTGATATGTGGAAGCATGTCGCAAGGACTACGCTGCGTCACACCTTCCCACAGGCCTATTGAAAAGAAATGATGATATCTTCGCTGAGAAAATATATTCGAACGGATCGTCGACTAAGTGACGATGGCGAGTCCCGGAGATTGACCAACACAACACCCATTATGAATACGATCCTCTACCTTGGATCGATAATAAGAGTTCCGAAGTTAAGGACAAAGCTAGTGCAACTCTGCGCAGATGCTGCCTACTGGTCGGCCGCCGACTAAATGACGGTGTTGAAAAAGCCTACTGCTATCCGAAGTAGACACAGTAGGGATTCCAACGTGGTGATTCATGTAAGAAAAGTGTGCCGATGGCCACCTATATACAATGGAACACAGACTAATAGCACCAATGCTGCAACCCCAAGCCCACTCCTAGCGTTGCCTAGGCGATTATGCACGGGAATAAACATCCCCATGTCGGATTTACTGTGAGGAATGGGATTGGACGATGTTGCCGTCTGAATACTCAGCGACTTTCTACTCATAAGACATCTACGGTGACTGGACTCAGGAGCATCTTGATAACAAAAAAGAAATGATATAATAATGATCTACGACGATGAAATCTTGCTCGAGATGACGCTGGGATTATAGCGGGAGAACAACGAACCAGTACAGGGGATTACAACATACGAAATACGACGTAACGTAGAAGGCCAGAGCGCTCAAACGTCACTATCAAGGACCCAGAGCGCCGCATATGGACGACCGGTCCATCGAATCTATCGTTGAGGCCGCTAGAGTTTCGCTCGAAATCGATTCCCTACTGCCAAATCCCTCATCGAAGTACTTACTGCTACCACCTGTAAAAACAATACCTACAACAAGTCCCCTATAGTCACTATTACTACGTCGCTCCGAATTCTCCATCTCACTCTGCTGATTCGATTCCATCACCATTTCCTTCCCCACTTGGGCATCATGGAATACCCCACGATAAAGTAGATGGCTTTCGATCATAGTCTTGGCCTCATCGATCTCCTCAGCTCTACCACACATCTCAATACACGGTCTAGACTCCCCCATATCGTCAGTGTCGGAGTAGCGAGCATAGTGAAGGGACGTGCGCTCAGCTAAGGCCGACAGGTTGCTGTATTTCGGCCCGACCACCCACTGAACACTCTCTTGCTCTATGGGGTATCTGCCAGAAAGGCAACTGTCACTGTGGGCGATTTTGCTCATTCTTATTACTTGACTATGAAAAACTCAAGGCGCTTACGAGCCAGCGCTGATGCTGACTCAAATGGTCCCTCAATAATCACCAATGATCCTGTTGGTGACTCTCGAGATGCCTCCAATATTCGGACCTAACTCGGCTTCTTCAAGGGTCGCAAGTTCGATCCCGGCACTCGTCACCTTGACCCCAAACTCATCCTCAACACTCCTCACATTTGCGCCTCCTTTACCTATCGTCAGCCCCAGCAGTCTTCGCGTCGTACAGAATTTAATGACGAAATTCCGCGATTTTTCCTCAGTCAACTTCTCGTGTGTTGTCGTCCTCACAGTAGACAAAGACGGAGCGGAGCGTTGCACAGCTAGATTTTTGGAACCGCTCGAGCAGCTCTCCTTGGCATTATCATTGCCACTTTGCTTCCGTCCTCCTGCCTGAGACAAGATTAACCTTCTAATTCACTGAAAGCCTCAAACTGCTCCTACAGAGGCTTTTGCTGCTGCTTGTTGTCGTCTTTGCCGGGTGGCGCTCAGACGTCTGTGATCATGGAAGGACTGAATTTCCACCTGGTGCTTCACATGGATCGTCAGAAGCATACGAGCCCGTGCGGTAAGGTGAGCGATGCCGATTAAATAAACTCTAGGGTGGTCGCAGTGGGTAGTCTGGACCGATATCTAAAAATATTCATGAATGAATAAAACTGATGGCTTCCCTTACTGATGCTAGACGGACTCGGACGGCTATGTACCTCATGCAAGCCCGACCATCATCGGATACCAACCAATCACTCAACGACTGGGGCACTTCGAAGATCTCGCTCTTTAAATTAGTCAAGACGGGGGAACCTGTAACCAACAGCCTTTGACTACCCATCCACCCAGGTTCGATCCCCGCACCATTACATTTGGTTGAATCATCCCACAGCTGCTCAGGGCTCTCCCGAGGCTTACTCGGCGCACGTAGATGATTCAGTTCGACAATCGTTTGTTGCCTTTCCAATTTTAAGGTGTTTCTCTCCTCCTCCTCGTCGTCACCACCGCCAGGCTCCTGCTGGATGTAATACAGACCATCTTTCACTCCGCTCACAGTTCCCAGACACCACGATGGCGGAGTGAAATCACTCCCAAGTGACAACACCTAAATGAACAGCTATACATCCCACCAAGCAGTGTCACCATTACTTCAACCGTGTCACCAACGCCTGGCTGAAAGCTGTGACCAGAAACAACCTTTTTAGGAACAAATCGAACCTACGAGAGAAATGATCATCACTTGACGACCTCCCCAGAGATACACTCACTGTGTCAATAGGTACAATCCTCGGCTGCCAAACGTTATTCTCAAATGATATTCGTGCCTGCGTATAACAACCACCCGTGCCAACACCACTATCGAACAACACGCTTACCTCTTTAGCTTCAAGATCAATACCTGCGAGTAGGGCCATATACCTGAACACTAGATGCTCACGATGACGATGCTACTACTACTACTACTACTACTACTACTACTACTACTACCATTTGTTCTCGTAGCCCCGGACTTCGACGGGAGCTGAATAGCACTGCACGGCAGCTGATGGAGGCTCCATACGCAGGCACTGTAACAAAACTGATAACCTCAACAGTGATGGCCAGAAGAACGCAAGATGAAATGCTACTGCTGAAATTCAGTGAGAAGCATTTTTATTCATTCGTGGCAACCTGCGATAACATATCATGGGCATCAGACTGGCTGCCAGGATTTGAGACTGCAATATAATGATACCACTCCTCCTCCACTTCTCATCAACTACTACCGCTCTCCCCTCCTTCTGATCCATCCATGGTCCTTCTACGTTTAGCGGCAGGAGGAGAAGGTCCCACCTTCTCTGTTGACTCGACGAACCATTCATGGTCGTCCCTGTGAGATCGGTGTCGTTACCAGGATTCGAACCAGGGACCTCCACTCTCACAGTGCTCGCTGAGCCGACCATCTCTTCCTATCGTCCACTCGGAGGAACATCTCTATCAAGTTCTTTGCTTCCTCAGAGACGTCCTCCCATTCGGCGAACGCGAAGCTATATCTGTCCACCCGGGTTCGATCCCCACATCCGACATCTTGTACTCTGCATTTAATATCTTCTGATCCAACAGCCCTTCTTGACCATCAGGATCCTCATCCACCGAAAAAGGCGGAGTTGCCGACAGCACCACATACCTGACAGATGACCTCACATAGGCTCATCCAGAGAGATCACCACACACCAACCCACAACTCTACAAGGCACCATTCCACCTCCGAAAACCTCCGTCAATTTCGCGGCGTTTGCCGCGCTCATAGTGACACTTTTAAGTCGAGCCATATGTTGCAGATTGGACCGCGCATACGTGGAAATTATTTATCCACGACCAGAAACGGCGAAAGAACTCATCGAAAGCTAAATCGATGATTACCGTTGAGGAGAATATAAAA